TTGGGATCTGGCGCCGTGTTGTCATACGTGAGTGTCCACTTGTAATCCGCATCGCCGTTATTCACCGTGATGCTCGTCAGCAGATCATTGACGATGCCGAACGTATACGCGCACTTGCTGCCCTTGTCAGGCCAGACGGTAACGATAGGACTGTTTCGATTCCCATAATCTATCGTGAGAACACTGTCGCCCCTTGCATTCGTGACCCGCTGGAGCAGCGCCCTTGATTGATCCAGAGGATCCGGCCCCCAGGCAAGCGTGTAAGACACCCCGTTCTTTGAAACGATCCTGTACGGCGCCTTCACGCCATAAGCAGATCCTGCGTCAAGCAGTTCAACCGAACCGTCGACATATTCGAGGCGTATCGGGTCGGCACTCTGATCAAAGCTGAAGCCCGTGAGCTTGGCCTGCACGAGCCCGCCCTTGCCATCGACTCCATAGCTTTCGCCATTATTCGCCGTAACGATCTGGTTCACGCCGTCGTAGGAGCCGAAATTCAGCACCCAGCCGACGCCAAAGCCGAAATTGACGGCCTGGAAGGGCGAGTAGGCCAGAACGAGCGGCACCTTCGGCCCCAGGAAGCGGTTCTGGGAATCGCGCCCGAGCGTGATCGTCGCAGAGAACAGCCCAGTCCGGGGATCGACCTGGGTGGACAAGCTGCTCGCAAAATTGTTCGCATGGGAGAAGTAGCCAGGCATGAAAATTCACCAATTTGCATGGAGACTGATCTTGCCATGATGCATTAATTTTAGCTCTATCTGATGCCATACATAATACGTGCGAACTATATTATTATTAGTCGAATTGCGAATTAATTATACTATTTCTCATGAACAGGAGAATACTCATGAAACTCGATGGTACATTTACGTTGTCCCCCGCGGCTGGGGCCACGGTTCTGAAGAACCAGATGATCGCGTGTCAAGTGATCTATGACGCCGCCGCCAGCGACGATCCGCAGTCGTTACCGTCGATTGACGTGACAATCACTCCAGAAGAGTCGCTATTACTGGATACACTGTCGCTCCAGCAATCAAGCGGCGCGGTTTACAAACTCAGCCTCACACCCGCTACAGGCGTTGCGGGCCGGTACCAGGGGTCGTTTTTTGCCTATATCAATGCGAGGGGCGTCTCGACCGCCGCCGGCTTTACCGTGTCGGGGTCCGGCATCGCCAGCCCTCCGAGCGCCATGTACAGCGTGTCGCAGGATACACTGAGCGTCCTGACCTACTGGACTTCGCTGAAGGTGGAAACCAACCTTGCCGGCGTCAGCTCTCCGAGCGACCAGGATGCGCAGGTGGTGACGCTCTCCGCCGCCATCACCATCAAGCACGAAGACAACACCACGTCGCCGGGGGCTGGGGTGCCGGTTTTCTTTGTAGCCAAGTACCCCAACAACCTTTTTGGCGACACGTTGCAAAAACCTGGCGTGGTCAGAGCATTTGATCCTGCAACCAACGCGCAGGTTTTCCCCGTGCGCTCTGAACTCGCCATGAGGGGCAACACAAACGCGCTTCCTGTCGTGGCGGACCAGAATGGCAAGGCCACCCTGACATTTCTCCCGACCACGACGGCGGTGGTCCTGGGAACAAACTGCGTCTATGCGACGGGCAGCCATGGCATCGCGGAAGCGAACGATGTTGCGGTGTACGATCCATTTAATCTCCAACTCGCTCCGCCCGCCGTCCAGCTGGCGGCCAATAATGGCGTCTATGATCTCGACACAGCAGGCCGCACCTTTGCCCTTTTGTTATCATTGCCACCGTCGTTACGCGGCGACTTCTTCGTCTATATGTATCGCGACATCGAAACCGCGTCTTATCCGTCTTACCTGGAAAACAGAAACTACGGTGATGACGGTCCACCGCCCGCCACCATAAACGTTCCGATGGCAAAGGCGGCCGTGGCGCCGCCGTCGGGGCAAACCGTGTCCGCGCCGCAGGACCTGTGCTATATTATCAGCAATCCATCGCTTGGTTGCTATCTGTCTTACGCAATAGCGGCGACGTTTGAATCTGATCAAAGCTGGAGCGGGCCCGATCCGACACTGGAGCGCACCCTGCCCAAGCCCAACATCCCCAACGCCGGCACCTATGTTAATCAGAATGTCATCGCGCAAGGCCTGAATGTGACGGCCCCTGTCGCCCGTTCCGGCAATTGGATCCCTGCCCTCGGAGATGTGTTGACTTTTACAATCTATCCCGCGGGCTGGGGCGCCAGTGGCCCGCTATCCAATGACCAGTCTCAAACCGTTACGCTTGCCGCAGGGGACCTGGCGGCGGGAATTGCCGCCACCGTGTTTGATTCGTGGTCCATGCTTGGGTATGGCAGCGGCCCTGACGGCGAACAAAGCTCACTCTACATCGAGTATTACGTCGTGACCGCTGGGAAGATTAATGAAGATGACACGCGGACCTACTCTGAAACTGTCAGATATGAGCTTGATACATTGTTCTGAGCGCGGGGGCGGTCGCTATTATGACGATACGGATCGCTTGCACCTCTGGGGCCCCCGTCTGCACTGATCCTGGCGGACTGTTGGGATACAATCTGGCGTGGGTCACCGGCCAGGCGAACGACAGGCTCACAGCCTCATTGTCGGCTCCTGGTCAGTTCGTGGCGAGCAATGGGCAGCTGTCGGAAGCAGACAGGACATATTCTCTCGACAGCTCAGGCAGGCTGACGTCGCCGATCATGGTCTGCGCGCTCACCACGCAGAATAGCGCCGCCACGGTCGTCCTGACGCTGACCTCAGCCGCCACAGGTGAAAGCACAGCTGTGTTCCTGGCCTATGCGGAACAGCTGCAGGGTCCGGGGTATTTTCTGCGTTATGGCGCGGCTCGCGCCCTGACTTCCGGAATGGGGCGCTTTTGCAGGGTGTTCACGCAGGTCGACATGTCAGACGGTCACCTTGCGCTCGTCAATCTGCTGGTGAACGCCCCGGGCTCTGGCGCGTCGCTTGCCGAATCTGGCGGCCAACACGCGGCGGGCATGGTCACGATTGGCAATACCAGTGGCCTCGCCACATTCTCTTACAGCAGCGCCGTTCCGGAAAGCGCCCTGATCTATTGCGCGCTGGCTGAATCTTCCCGTGGGGAGATCCTGATCCTCAACCTGTGAGCTCGATGTGACAGGCGGGCGCCGACACGGCGCCGCCCTGCCCAGGGAAAACGCCCATGGCTGAACAACGCGCCCGACTGCGGGATTTTGCAGCGCCAGGTTATGCGCCGCCCGCGGCTCCGAAATTACCTCAGGCGAAGGGCGGGATTCTTGACCTGTCGACATGCGGCCCCAGCGTGGAGGTGGACATTCCGGTCTACGCCGACTACCGCCCGACGGACCGCTTCACCTTGCTGGTCGGCGACTATGCGGTCGCCTGCCCTGTTGCTGCGCAAACGCTGACGCCAGGCGATCTCATCCCTGTACTGATCCCAGCCGCCTGGCTCTGGAACGGCGACTGGTCGTTCAGCTACATGGCCGAGGACAGCTGTCAGAACGCAGCCGCCTCCGATGAGACGGACGTGCGCATCGTCAATGCACAGCTCAACCAGCTGCCCACCCCGACCTTTCCGGATTATGCGGACGACGACGCCACCCGTCGGCAGATCGCACAGGATGGCGGCGTCCGGGTTCGTGGCGGGACCGATGGCCTGGCGATTGGCGACCAGTTCAGTCTGAGCTGGCGGACGCGAACCGCCACCGGATCAGATGCGCCAGAGTTTGCGCGCGTCTTCCTGCGCAAAACACTTGCGGCAAGTGATCTCAGCGCCGGCTATGTCGAAGGCTGGTGCGATGCCTCAATCGTGCTGGCTGGCGGGGTCGGCGGCAGTGGCGGGGCGCGGAGCGAGGCGTCGCGGATCATGAACAGCGTGTCGACGCCCTGGGCGGCCTCCCCTCTGCTGGTGCTGCAGATCCGCGAGGGAGACGCGTTTCTTTTGCTTGGCGCCACATCTGGCGCGAGCTGTCGACAGCTGGACCTCCAGCCCAACCTGCTTCCCGCGAACCGCTTGTGGCTGGCGGCCACACCTGGCGCGACGATCAATCTGACCATCGATCAGGGCGCCCTCTTCTCAGCCACTGACACCGCCAGCGCCATTGTGTTGGCCGACGCCCGCGGCCAGGCCACGATCGATTTCTATGCTTCAGCAGCCGCCAGTCCTGCAGGCGTGACCTGCACGATTACCGGGACCACTGCAACCGGGCTAACCGCCGCCACTCAAAGCAGCTTCTCCGCCGAGTTCCAGGGGCACTCCGGCACAGTGACCTATTCTGCGCGCAGTTTCGGACTGGCCAATGGAACGGACGTTTTTGATATTTGCGTCAACAACCCGAGAAACATTTCGAGATATGATGTCAGCGCAACGGGCTCTGCTCTGGTGCTCGGATTCAGTTCTACCGGACGCATTCTTGCTGATTACTATTTCGAAGCCACCATCAGTGTCGTCGATGCTGTGGCTGAACGTGTCGACGTTACCATCGGCAACAGTGACAACACGACCAGCGTGACATGCGATTTTCGCAGGAGCCCATTTTCGCCAGCTGGCGCATGAACCGCTTCTGGAGACGCAGATCTTGATTCCAGTTGTCGGTGTGTGGCCGCCGTCTGGCCCAGCTTCCCTCGCCCGGGGCGTGCTGGCGCTCGCCATGACGCCGGCTGGGCTTCACGGCCGCCGCCCGGAAGCCGCGTCGCCCGTGGTCTTCGCGGAGGGGCCACAGTTCAGGCCAGGTTACCCAGATGCTGGCGCATCGCCGACCTGAAATGAACGGGCGCCGCCGGGGCTGGAGCAGAATCCGATGAGCATGCTCACCGGATTCTGGCGCCAGTCGCTCGTGCTGGCACAGGAGCCTCACCAGGTGAACCTGATCCCCGCCCGGCCGTCATAGCCGTGGTTGCGACCGTCAAAGCCAAGCTGGTAGCCGGCGCTGACAACCCCCTCAATGCCCGAGTTCAGCACAAGATTGGCGCCAATCCTGAGATCAGCGGAAGAACCCGCAATGCTGGATCGGAACGGAATATAACCCTTGCCGGAGGAGAACTCCGTCTTCGGCTCTCCCTTGAAGTCGTGCCATATGCTGGTGCGAGTCCACAGACCGAACTCGCCGGCCGTATCGCCTGACAGCGACCAGACCCGCCCCAGCCGGACACCAGCGCGGGCGGCGAGCGAGGTGACGTTACTGAAGCGGACATGGGCGCCGGCGTCCCAACCGCCCTTGAGGTTAGCCTGCTGATACACGAGTTGCACTTCCGGCCGGATATCGACGTTGGACCCGAGCTTTAACACCGCGCCGGCCTCGATGCTCGCGCCCCACGCGGGCCCAGAGGTCTTGAGGCCAATGCCATGAACGGACGTTGATTTCATGCTCTGCATGCCGGCAATAACCGTTGCATTGGCGAACCAGCCCATCGGCGACCGAAATGCTGCGTATCCGCCAAAGGCCGTCGTATCGATGAGATTGCGGCCAGCGCGCCCCTGATAGATATGACGCACATCGCCACGCAGCTCGCCGGTTGCCCCCAGCAGGCCCATGTTGAGAGAGTGGCCCGACGCATAGAGGGTGCTGACGAGGTCCAGGCCGGCCTGAAAGGTGGTCGCCGCGTAGCTGTATTCGGGCCCACTTCCATGAATGCCGCCCGGGCTTGCGTCCCGGTTCTTGTGCGCTGCCACGACGCGCAACCAGCCCAGCCTGGCGGATTGTACCGGATCGGTCTTGCGACACTCCAGATAGGGCCTGCGTGGGTCACACGTGACCATCGGACCAATGGCCCCGCCTTGACTGCCCCTGGCGTCTGAGATGTCGAAGAGCGACCTGAAATAGGA